AGTGACTGAGAGAGCCAGAATTAGAGTGAGAGTAAGCACTGTATGTACTTTAGAACATCCTAGTAATTAATTCTACATCTCAAATGAGCACCTTAATCACAAACTATAGACTCAATCTCTCTGTAGCTCAGTGAATATATATTTAGTTGTCTGAAGAAGAAAAGATCCAAGAGAGGAATTGGGAGACAGAGACTGATTCTATATCTAAGTGATTAGGACATAGGAAATCTAGGTATGAGTCCTAGATCAAACTCATGGGCCAGGGATGGACATTACACATAAACCAGGTTAAGTGATCAGAAACTGTAACAGAACATAAGTCCAGTGCACATAAACTAGGTGCAAAATGGCTGAAACTGGTTTAAGATAAACATGGTTGAACATAGTATCAGACTTAACTGATTTGGGTCAAACCAGCTTATGCAATGTCTGTTCCAGACCCCTTCCCAGTTTAAGTTAAACCAGAGTCCCCCAGCATCCCAGATGCTATGCACCCAGGGCTGTGCTATCTGCTCCAGAGAACAGGGCTGGCCCCGCCCCTCTGCTCCATAACTAGAGCTCTGGCAGAGACTGCAAGCACAGCAGGGTCTGCCTGGCTTCCCCCTACCTGCACCTTGATGCTCAAGCAGAAATTCCCCCACCTCCCATCTCCCACAGCACAGACCCCATCCCCATGGACCCTAGGCATGTGGTATGCTAGCTAATGCTGAGAGGTGTCTGTGTGTGTGTCTCCAATTTCACTGGGACAGTCAGACAGCATAGTGTCGGCTTAGGGCTTTTTGGAGCTAATCAACAGGTCAGCTGGTAATGTCCCGCAGTTCCTTCCTTGGAAAAAGCTGTTTAAGAACTTGAACTAATGATAGAAGCTTTTGTTTTGTTGATGGGTGTGTTATCCGCCCCCTGCTGCCTCCCTTGCCTCTCAGATTTGCTGCAGACAGTACGAAGAAGCAGGGAGAGGGAGACTGAAAAGCTCAGTATCATCAACAGATGCATACACTGCACACCCCGCCACTTTGCCTCAGAGTGCTAGCCGGGGGTTGGGGTCTGACAACAGTTCTGCCCCTTGAGAAGCGAGTGGGGAAAAGCCTGGGATGCAGGCAGGGTCGGGGTTTATACCCCTCCCTAATCAGACCATCCTGCTGATGCCTGGCCATGCCTCTCCTCAGCTCAGCACTATGGAAGTGAAGGAAAGGCTGCTCTAGGCCCCCCCCCCACAAGCTTCTAGCCTGAGGCACTGCAGGCATGTTCCAGCATTTCCTCAGTCCAGAGGAAAGTGCAGTTCCAAACTGGTTCAACCTAGGCAGTTTAGGCTAACCTGCAAAGATTGAATCAATTCAGGCTCAGGCTTTTTGAATGACTGTCCCTAGCCATGTAGAACGGAGACTTGAACCTCTCTCTCACTCTCTTTCTCTGATTTGCACTGAGATGTTTCAGATTTGTTCTGAAACATATATACAATTTTAAAAATATCCTTGGGATAAGAAAATCCTTTCCTGTCCAGTTCTAGGACATTAGTGAAGAATGGGTGTTCCCCTTCCTTCCCAAAGTGTGTCCCTGGCTTACCCAATGACCCTAGGAGATTTATGCTGTTTACAGGCACATATCCTATATTCACCAGTTCTGTAATACTACAAATGTTTCCTCTACTACAGTGCTCAGTTGCCCACAGAAACAAAATGTAGCCCAACATGTTATAAAATAATTACTTTATCCATTACTGAAATAGAGCCATTTCTGGTGTTGAACAAGGTAGTTATTTAGCAATATAAAGCAAGTCTGCTAAATTTGCTAAGGCAGGAAATGCAAGTCAAAATAAGATGATGTTAATGTGAACAAGGTAAAAAATTGCTATTTACTTTTAAAAATCTTCATGTCAGAAAGTTAGCTTCTGATGATTATTACATATATATGTAACATATATTCCTACTACGTATAGCAGAAAGAGAATTCTCGGATTTAGGGAAGGATGAGTACAATTTTCTTCTTCTCAAATGTTCATGTCACTGTGATGTATATGTATAGTACAGCAACCAGAAAAATCATTACACTGACACTCCCACAGAATTGATTTTCTGTTGCAGTTGTAAGTCTCTTATTAGCAAAAACCCAAGAAGAAAACATACTGTCTTTTAATGAAAGCTGTATGTAACCAATGTCTGTTTTTCCTTTGTCAAAATTTATAAATTTTTCTGAATAATTTTGTCTTTCCAATTGGACTAGTTCTTCACTTGAAAAAGTGAAAAGTTATCAAAAAAGAAATTAATTAGTAATGTATTATAATTCCCTAAAGTTAATATTTTAAACAAAAGTCCTTCTCCCTTCATACACCTCCACTGAATGGCACTGAAGTGCTGTCAGAAAGCCTAGATGTTACTACAAAACCCAGTTGAGGCAATGATATACATGTATGTATGCATTGCATAGCTATCCATAAGTTTACAGAAGAGCAGTATAATCATAACTGCGTTATAAATCTTACAAATAAACAATATATTAAAAAAAAACAAGTTTCTTGAGGCCTGAAATGAGACCTTGTTAAAAATGTCATTCAATACCACTGTATTTTACCATTCTTGTATCTGCAAATACTGACTCGTTATAAGGGACCTACTCAATTTGCAATTTTGTGGAAATTGCAAAATCAGGCATTGTCCACAAATTTGAGCAATGTTCATGAAATCCATGGAAAAAAAAAGTACTAAAAATAAACTGTTGGCTCCCCAGTGGGAGCCAGTGGTCCTCATGGCTGCTATGGCTGTTGCAACCTGCTATGGGAGTAGGAGATGCCGCTGGCATGAAGGGGAGCAGTCAAGATGGCAGTCGCCCCACCCCTTGTTGCTGAGAGGGCTGCCTGTTGTATGGCCACACTCTTTTTCACCAGTCAGTTGTGAGGGCCGGGGCCACATGACAGTCAGCCCTCCAGCCAATTAGTGACAAGTGGTGGAGCTACTGGGGCCCTTGGCCAATCAGAGATGTGGGGAGGGCCTGCCACAAGAAGCCCACAAAATCAGATGCCTGCCTCCTTGATTTGAGTAGGTCCCTACTCATTATCATATATTTTCTTCCAAACAGCATCATTGTGGTTTATATTTATAATGTGCATACCAGCTATGACCACCCAAACCACTCTGGAAACACCAAATTTAGAGGACAGGTACACTTCCTGTCAACTGGAGGCAAAGTTCAGATTTTAAGCTAGCAGGCCGAGCATTTTTCTTTGTAGAACACTGAAGGCATATGATCTACTTATTTCAACATTCAGGTCATTGAGGAAACACTAAACTATTCACTACAGCAATTCTACAGAACATAGTCCATAATAGACCCTCACAAATCAATGCACAGATTTCTGGAAGAAAACTACTTACCACCTTTTGGGCATGTTAAATATTTAGTTTCTTCTCAAAAGAATGGTTACTCATATACTTTGACTCCCTAAACTTTTTACACTGTGAAAAATGGAAGGCTCTATGGTCAACAAGAATACATTGATTGACTTCTTACTGGCAGCTTAGATCTATCTTTAGGGGGGGAAATGGGCATAGGCACTTTCTACTGAAAAATGAATGTATAGGTTTCCAACAATCCTTTGATATGGTACAGTTACTTAATAGTTGTGCCACTTTTCTCTTGGCTTCTACGGCTATGTCTACACAGCCTCTGTGCCCAAACCAGGAGTACCTTGAAGGAGTACATCTCTCAAACTTGCTCGCACTCTGCGAGAAACTAGGCAAGGTATCCTTTTTTAGAGCAGTACATATCCTTTCAGTGTGTTTGTCTTAGACATGATAACTGGCACATGCTCAGGACTACTTCAGAGTAGCTTTATTGCCCAACTTCCTGGTCCACTAGGGATAGGCAAGTGGGGCAGCAGCTCTGAGTTCCATTTGAAAAGGGGCACCAGAATTGTCTCCAGCCCCATGAAGTCCATATTCCAGCAGCAAAAGCAGCCCTACAGTGTTGCTCTTGCAGCAGCAGCTGGGTGTATGGACACTGCACTGCTGCTGTAAGAACAACTGGGGTGGACAGACCATGCTGCAGCTGTGGCAATGATAGTGGCCTCAGCATCAGAAGCCAAGGACTATTTTTGTGTTCCCACGGTAGTTAAGACTCCTGGCCCCCTCCCCTACTATCAGAACCCCACACCTCTCTGGTGTGCAACAGTACCCCCCTGCTCTCCCACAACAACCCTGTTCTCCTGCAGAGTTTACCCAGGGTGCAAACCCTGCTCAGTATGCCTCTGCTTCCTGGATTTGGTAAACTAGGGATGGGAGTGAGTAGCTGGGGTGTGCTTCCCTGCCACACTCACGGTGTCAGCAAGAAGCAATGTACACATCCCTTATATCTCCATTAGGGAAGTTCAGCAAACCAGGTTTCACCTCTCACCTTTTTGTTTAGTGTTTGTATTACAATGTGTAAAAATAATAAAGAGTTTTTTTCAGTCTGGTGAACTGCTCTGTTACAGAAAAAATCTATTCTGGATTAGCTCTAATTTTGCAGTTTTGACATTCATATGATTGTTGTACAAAACACAAATTCAGCTATAACTTTAAGTATAAAGAAACTGTTATAATGCCAAAAGTGTAAGTATTTACTGAAACAGGCATTATTATCTTTGCCTGGACTGGCAAAATGTAGCTCTCAAAGAAATCCCAATTCTTTATAAAGATAATTCTAACCAAAATTCCCCTATGGAAGGATTCTTAACAAAACAAGTTATGCAAAAGTACTGGAAATAGATATAGTTTAGTTTAAAAAAGGATAAGTAAATGGGAAACCTTACATATTCTTATAGAATATTCTTAGTAAAACTCATGTGTAACAGTCAATAAAAGAGAAATATTCTGCAAATGAAAATGCAGAGAATACCATACTAAGAAAACATAAGAATGTATGCTACAGATTTCATAATTATTTAATTTCTAATTATATAGCTATAAGTAGTTTAATTTTAGGAAACAAGTAAGGAAAAGAACTGATATGCTACAGTAGTACTATACCTCCTGATTATCTCTAACCGCAGCTTCCACCTTGACCTTGTTGTCATAGAGATCCACAAGGTTGTCTTTATCATTTAAGTAATAGTTCTGAAAGATCTGATAGTCTTGAGCTAACCAAAAATTTTCTTTTATTGTCTGTTCCAGTGCCACCTAAAGAGAAAGGTTACTAATTACAATCAATGAAAAATGCATACTTAAAACACTATAAAATTTTGGTTACATTTCAGAACTGAACTGGTACACAGAAAATGCCCAGACTAAAATGAGGATACTTTGTGCCCAAAAGCTAATCTAATATCTATCCAAACTATAACACTGGTTCAATAAAAGTGTTCACCAAAAAAACCCTTGCTTTTCACATTAGTTTACTTGGCTCACATACAAATATTCTATTTGGGCCGAGAAAAAAGCCTTTTTCTCAGCATAAGGAGGACAGAGTAAAGATGTTCAAGGGCTTTCTTGTGCAAGAAAAATGGTCCTTCTGCAAGGAGATATACTGGTTACCTATGAGGAAAATCTCCCTGCCCTAACCTGAACTCCTGTATGCTTCTCTTGGGAAAGAGAGAGACCCAGTATTTCAGTCCTCTGCTATCTATCCCTTCAAGTGAGGACAGGAAGGAATGCATTGGCTCTCATTTCACATAGGGGTGAGCTGTCAGGGAGCCCTGTGGGGACTCTGCCCCTTGTCTTCTCCCCACTTCTGCAGGAGTAGAGTCTCTCTGGTTCAACCTGGAGGAGTATAGTGGGAGGCAGGTGTGGGGCTAGAGGTCACCCAGAGCCCCAGGAGGGTCCAATCCCAGGAAAATACCTTCCCCAATGCTGGGAGGGTTCCTGCCATGGAAGTAAAGCCCCCACCTGGTGCAGTCCTCTAGTTCCACCAGAAAGTGTGTAGGGCTGTGGAGGTCATCATTCTCCAGCACCTGCAATGCTCCCTGTGATCTAGCAGGCTGCCATGGAAGAATTGCCCGTTGCTCCCCTGCATGCCTTCCAGTGGAATTGGAGGCACGCAGGGGAAGGAAACACTTGTGCTGTGGCTGCAAGTTTGCCCAGGCTCGGGCAGCATTGCAGTCAGAGTAGATTCCTTGGAATCAGGAATTGGGCTTGGGAAGGCTGTCCCCAAGCTCAGTTTCCAGTCCGTGGGCTTGAAATGTTGCCCCACCAACCAGCTGGATGGCGGGAGTAGGGTTTGCAAGGCCTCAGGGGTGAAGAACCAGGGCCAGGGCGACTATCCCCACCCTGGTGTCACCCACCTGGGTGGCATATGTGGCAATTTAAAATCTGGGGAACTGTCCCCAGCTCTGCTTCTTCGCACTGCATATAAGGAGATTTAAAACGTGGAAGCCTGGACCCCTTTCCAGACAGGAAAGAGGGCCCACTGTCAAGTAACGGGCTCCCCTAAGGGTATGGGTGGCCCAGGAAGAAGTCCTCTAGTGCCACCTGGCTGGAAAATTCACCTGTGTGTCTTTCTCTATCATCTACATTTGTTCAGTACATACAAGGTCGGTGAGGCTGTGGTTTATAAATTCATTTAATGAGATCAGGATTTTACTCAGTATGCTGTAGGTCAGGAGTACTCAACTCCTGCCTGTGGACCAAGTCTGGCCCCCACAACCATGTTATCTGGTCCATGGATCCTGTGGGAAGCTCTACAGGATGTAGTCCTGTGTGCCAGTCTGGGCATGCACGGTAGCACAGGACTCAATCCCAGTATGGGAGGCACAGGTGGGGGCAGCGCGGAGTCCTGGGAGCCCAAACCCATCTGTGCAGGGGTGGCATAGGCCCCTGTACCACCTTTGCTTGTCTGGGACCAAGACCCAGAGCCCTGCACAGCCTTTGTCTGGCCCCTGTATGCTGGGATCAGCTCCTGGGGACACCTACCCCACCACTGGGATCTGACCCTGGCCAGTCAGAGGTGGTGTGGGGCTCCAGCATGTGAGGGTGACATGAGCCCCAATCCAGCCCATAGACTGGCCCCATGCCATTCATCTGGCCCAGGAAGCTAAAAGTATGAGCACCATTATTGTAGGTGAATACTAACAATAAATCATCTCTGGAGGAAACAATAATCACAAGCAGTACAATAGTAACTTGGGAAACAAATATTTTTTTTCTGGGCTATTATATGAGTTCCCCTCAGTCATAAAAATACTATAATATAAATGTCTGTAATTTCTAAAACATCTCACAAATCCTTTACAGCAATAATTTAAACTTTTCAATGATCTCATTATTTACAAAATATATACTATTACTGACACAATTCAAGAACCACATATTTAACATTAAGACATTTTAGTAGTTGTTTTTCCCAAATTGGAGAAAACTGATTTTCCCTCCATGATGTCACTATTGAGAAGGATTCTGGTTATTTGGATGCCTTAATGCACATTCCTTTAGCTTAAAATGTTCATATTGCTTTTAAGTTTTAACAGGACTTCTAATTTCATGGGTTTATAATGTCTGATTTTGCAATAACTACAACATTGCATAATGTATTTTAACTTAGATTCCTCATTTTATACATGCATTGCACATACTCAACCTTTAACTTAGTCTTGGTCTAGGAATTTAATTCATATTTTTTGTAAACAACCCCTGACCAAAATCCAAAAAGAAAATACTACCATTAGAAGTGGCTGAAACTTGGAAATTCTATTTCAAACGAAGTAATGACATTTTTAAATTCCTTATATTTTCCAGATCAGGATAACACCCCCCCCAAACAAACAAACAAACAAACAAACAAACATTTCCCCAGAAATTGAAATGGAAAAGGAAATTTCCAATAAAGCTGTCATTTTGGGATTCCAAAAGTTCAGTTCATATTCCATTCTTAAACACTGTTTAGGAATATACTATGACATGTAATAATATGACAACTATGGACTTCTGTTCCTTTAATGTTTTTTAAATCACAAGAGTCAGTTACTATTTAGAACCAACTGAAACATCTTTTTTTTCCTGTATGTGGCAGGGCACTGTTGGTGCCTGCCACTTTAAGGGCCGAGCCAAGCAGCCAGCAGGTGATTGATTGTGGCAGGCC